AATTCTGAGCATGCTAAAGGAATGCAATAACCACCAAGAATCCAAAAATACAAGCTTATCCCTGAACCACTGTAGGAAAATGTTGCAAGCATTCATTGCGTTACTAGGTTGTGGGATAGCCTTTATTCCTCCAGTGGCCCGTATACTGTAACCTGTGTATGTTTACTCTTACAAGGAAAGGAAAACAGTGGTTTGGCAGGAGCGCCAGAGGGCTTTGGAGGAAGCAAACAAAGCAGTAAAACAGGTACCGATGTTCGATATCTATGTTCCAGCTCTGCCTAGAGTGTCGGACGTAGTGCGACCCAGGAGCAGGTGTCCTGGGGCCTCTGGCAATAGCATGGGAAGCTCCACTTTCCAAGAGGATTTTGGTTCCAGGTGTGGAGAGAGGATGAGGAAGATACAGTCTAATAAAGAAATAGCTCTGCGGCGCCTAGTGAGCCCTGCCGGCAATGGAGCCCGTAACTGGACGCTCTGCTGCTGCAGGCAGCTGCCTGGCGTGGCTCACGCCCTGAAGCCAGGCACGGCGCAGACACAAATTGTCATGAGACGGAGTGTTTCTCTGCAGCAGAGGCGTGTGCACGCAGCAGCCCATCCTAGCCCAGAGCTACAGAGATCGCTGGGGCCAGCTGCCATTGTGTTGCAAGATGCAGAAAAGACACCTAAGCAAGGACCTGTTGGCCCCTCGGTGGCGAAAGCTGTTTGGTCCCCATACCACCTGAAGCGAGCATGGCATATGGATGGCTCGGGCAAAGGACAGCCCCCTACATGGCATGCTCGGCACTGGACTGTCAGCCACAGGCCCTGTGGGGAGAAACCGTGTGGGCTGGCAGAGGGACGGTGTATAGACTCAGGAGGTGACACTACATCATGTCTCAGGACATCAGCGGGTACAACGTCCAGGGAACGATGAGGCAGATGCTCTCGCTGGCATTCGCTGGCCAGCAGAGGACCCAGCAGAAGACCTGGCAGCGTGGCCACCTAGGAAAACAAAACACGCCGTGTAGAAAACCCTGTGGGCAGCAGCGCTAGCCTGGGGCCTCCCAGTGAAAATGGCTGACACTGTTCCAGCTTGTCAGCAGTGCGCTGTGTGTGTGCGGAGTGGCCCCCGCGTCCCTGGCTGGCGGCGGCAGGACATGGTGTGCAGCCCTGGGCTGAAAGCCACAATGTGGAGTGGCAGCGGCACCTCCCTTGCAATCCGACGGGAGCTGGACCGATAGAGCGTTGCAATGGACTGTTGGAAAACGCTCTGAACAGCGAGGGAGGGTTGTTACAAGGACGGACCGCGAGACCCCCTGATGTGCTGCGAACCGTGGGTGAAAAGCCGTGACCAGACCCGCGGTGTTCCAGATGCTGCCACAGAGGTGGGCATGGCTGCTGAGAGTGCAAGTTCGAACAGTGGATACTCAGATAAGACCGCCCTGGGGAGTGGAGAATAACCTGTTGCGGCCAGCACCGCAGGACATCCACCCTGGGGCTAGTGCGTTACCTTGGCCCTGGGAGACTCAAGCTGGTATCTGCTGGTGCGCTTTTTTTAAATAAAGATTTTATTTATTTATTTTTAGAGAGAGGGGAAGGGAGGGAGAAAGAGAGGGAGAGAAACATCAGTGTGTGGTTGCCTCTTGAGTGCCTCCTACTGGGGACCTGGCCCACAACCCAGACATGTGCCCTGACTGGGAATCGAACCAGCAACCCTTTGGTTTGCAGGCCGGCCCTCAATCCACTGAGCCACAGCAGCCAGGGCTAGTGGTTCACTTTCTTAGCTTCATGGGGGGAGGGACTTGCCCAGGGCTTGCTTATACAACCTACCATAACGGTAAATGGCCAACTACTATTCAAGTAAATAACCCTGGGAAGCTTACTGGGGTAGGTACCGTAATTATTTCCATCTGGCAGATTCATTGTCCTGTCACAGCCAGCATCCTAGGTCTGGGGCATGTCACTGGTCAAAAGGTATGGTGTAGGTGGCCAGGGAGATCACCCAAACAAGCCACTGTCCTTACACAGGATAGAGCAGTGACTTGCATACTTACTGCCCACTGGTGCTGACTTGCCTCTGCCGGTGCCTATTAAACATTTGCCTTATTCTCCTTCGTTCAGCGCAGGGGGCCTGCTTTGTGGATGGGCTGCTGAGCGGGAGCCCGGCCCGGTGTTCGGACTCGTAGGAGTGCCCAGAGGTGCCCCTCTCTGATGCTGCTGGTCGGCCTTGGAAAACGAACCCGTGAACCCCACAACCTCACAGAATGGTCCTATCTCAGCGTGGTTTGGCAAATTGTCTTGGGGCTGGCGATCAGCTTTATATACTCTAATATTAATCCGTTTAAGTCTGTCATTTCTTGGCTGTATGTTATGTTATTGGGTAGAGTGTGGATATAGCATCTCACCCACCCTTCGCTCCCCAGGGCATGTGCCGATGACGCAGGGGTGGCTTGTACGGGAATGGAGAAGGAGGGCCCCCATGCCGCGGTGGGGAGTATGGTATGTGAGGACACGGGCTCTTTCCCGGGCTCCAACTCCCCACCCACCCTGCAGGAATATGTTGATGGCTATCTACAAGTGGACTGCAGAACAGGCTTTGGGAGCCTGACCAGCTCCTCGGTCAAGAATTAGCAGAACAGAAAGTGTTCCTGGATGTGAGCCTGGAGTGTAAACAATGGCAGAGAAACAGAGCCTTCTGCCATCTCGCACAGCTTGCACACAAACGCATCTCTGCCCTGCCCCCTCCACCCTTGTCCAGTTCAGTGTCTGTGCTCTGTGTAACCTTGTTCCCAGAAAGCCTGTGTTGTCGAAAACATCGCCCGCCAGCCACCACTGGTACATGTGTAAGTCCTAAGAAACCCATATCATTCACATCTGGTCCTCCAGGTTATTGCTTTGAAATCGCTTTCCTGGGAACTGGGCTGTTTGCATAACAAGGGCTGAAGTCTGCTGGGCCGCAGGGGAGCCCAGGAAGCCTGCGGTGCCTGGAGTGGGGTCCGGTGATTGCTCTGAATGAGAGCCATTCCGTGGCAGCGACTAGCAGCTCTCTGGTGGCTCCTGGGGTCCTTGCTTCTACTTGCGGCTCTCCTAGAGAAGCTTCTCGAATGGCTCTGTCTGAAGGGTAGCAGGTGTGCCATCACCTCAGCCTCTGTCTGACATGGGAGTGGGATAGAGAACCCTTGCCCAAACTTCCCTGCCCCAGTGGATGAATGAATGATGTTTCCCAACAGGAGGTGCTGTCGGTGCAGGGGGTCTTGTGGAGTCATCTGTTAGATGCCATCCTTTCTCCCCTAAAACATTAGTCTCCTCCTATTATGAGTGGGATAATCAAGGCCTAAAGGAACAGTGAGAGAGACTTGACTGAGGGGTCCAGTGGAGATCACCTGCCTCCCAGGTCTGTACTACTCCTCGGGCGTCACTTACATGGCCTGCGCCGAGACCCCCGCGTATAGCAGACTCCTGGGACTTGGGTGTGACTGGTCCCTGGAGCTATACAGTGCGTAGCGTGGTGCGGTGGGCCCTCGGCCCTCTCGATCGGCAGCCTTGGGCCATGTGCAGTTACACCAGCAGGCACCTGAGATCTTTTCTGTGCTTGGGGACACAGTCGATCCCTGCGTCCAGGTGCAGGGGGTCGCGCGACGGACAGAAACAGAGGCTGATCTCGTCTGCTGCGGAGGGGTCCTGATGTGAGTTGCTTGTCCAGAAAGCAGAGTCTTGCCCATTCGGTCGGGAGCCCTTGAGCCTGGAAGGCCAGAGTATGAGGGGAAGGGTGGTGAGCGGGCGTGCGTTTTCCTCCCTGCAGCTTTGCAGCGTTCTGGAGGTCTCTGTCCTGCCAGTCCCGCTCCTCCCCCCCGCAGCATTCGACCTCTCGCGTTGCCCCGCCCCGTTCTTCTTGCGGCTGCCTCCTCCCCTCCCCACGCGCCGCTGCCCCGCACCACGTTTCCGTTGCCTCTCGCCCTTACATCGCAACGGCATGCTGACTGCTCTTCCCATCCTCTCCAGTCCGGCCCTTAGCCACACAGCTGTCCTTCCTGAAGCATCTCTGGCCACGGCACGCCTCCGCCCCACTGACTCCCAGCTTTCAATGCCCCGGGTGGCCACGTGCTCTAGGTTGCCTGGGACACTGTTAATTTATTTCTGTTGTCCCAGCATAATGATCCATGGTGCCTCCTCTTAGTCTCAGAAGTCTTAATTTGGGTGATAAAAATGACATGGCCATCTTATTACTTTTTGAAGGGAGCATAGACTCCCTACCTTCCCAGACTGTCCTCACCTTTCCTTCCCAAATCTCCCCACCGTTTTGTTCAGACCCTGCCCCTGACAAGTATCCACTGAGCTGCCACCCAACTTGAAAAACACACTGTGATCATCTCGACTTCTGGGCATTGTCCCCAGCCACGCCTCTTTCCTTTCCATCTGGCCTGAGACCTCTCTAAAAGCGCCCGGGCACCAGTCCGTCCATCAAGATCTAGTTTACGTTCCAAGCTTATAACTCTTAAAGTGCCTACCAAGCCTTAGTCTGAATGAACCTCTTGCTTAGGGGCATCAAGCCTCCCTCTATGTTTCTGGACTGAAGGACCGTCAGGGGAGTAAGGTCGGCACAGGCGGCATGTCGCAGGCTGCTGGGAGGGGACACGGGAGAGAGACTTGGGGCAAGCGTGGGGCAGGCCTGGAGAAAAACAGCACTGAGAATCCTGCTGAGGAACTGACTGAGGAGCTTGAGGGCTGGGAAACCGATCTCGGGGACCGGAATCAGGAATAGAAAGGGTGTGCCCAATCCTGTCACCTTACCCTGCATCGGGTTGAAGGCCCGCCAGACCGTACGGTCACTTTTCAGAAACACAGTTGCCACCTCCCATAACTACATCCGTCACCCCTGCTTCCGCCTTTCTACCTCCTAGCTCAGTGTAGGTTCCCCACAAAAATTCAACTGCTGACTGTAATACAAAATATATTTTTAGGTATTTATTTCCATTTAACATGACAAGTCACACCTTTGGTTCATAAAAATACAGCTTTGGTCTTCTCAAAAATACAAAACACTTTCACATATTTGCCAGGACCCTTCCAAGATTCCAGGGAGGTAAGGAGGAAAGTAGTGACTCACTGCAAAGAAACAAAGTAACATTATTTTGCAAGGGATTAAATTGGGACTCACGGAGAGGAAGGGACCTCACCAGAGCTTTACATGTTTAAAAAATAAGCAGTGTTCATGGCAGAGAAGTTCAAACACATCAATAACTTAAATGCAATATTTGTTTAATTGTTAAATAAAAGAATTCCTTCTGGAAGGTTGATGAGATTGTCTCAGGACGCATCTCACAAAGACCAGAGGAAATGAGTCAAGCATTTCTCAGGCTCTGGATTGGCAGGAAAAAAGTGAATATTTATGGCTTTGGGGTTTGGAGCTTCTTATCCAGATAGTTCATGGCCTGCTGGACCCACTTGTCCTTGGGGTTGGCACAGACCTCCTTGGCCTGTTTGGTCTTGAAGCTGTGGGAGAGAAGGGGAGCAATGAGAGGCATCCTCTTTGCAAACCATGCCCATTTAACCCCCAGATCTCCAGGACCACCTGCCATGGGGTGAAGGAGCTGCTATGGGCGAGGGGGAACGGGACAGAGGGAGGGTGGGGCTCTGGGATTAGCTGTTGCTCTGGATGACCCAATCGAGCCATCCTGGCTCCTGACTCGAAGGATTGGGCATGACCCAGACGTGCTTGCAGACAGAGGGCTAAGAGTGGACACGCCCTGCAGTGAAGATGCGTATGCTGCGTGGTAGAGCTCGGACTCTCTGAGCCTCTGCCTCCACGTGACTCTGCCACGGTTCTTGATCTCTGCCCCTAAAAATGAAGCTAGGGGCTGGGAGACGGTGAGCGCTCTCCACTTACATCACAGCTTTCTGGGGACATCTGCTGCCAGTGAGTTTCCTATAGCTTTCCAGTTTCTGAAGGGAGATCTTCTTGGCCATGCTGAAGCAGCAGACGGTTGGGACAAAACCTGAATTTGGGGGAGAAACCAAAAAAAAAAAAAGATGAGCCACTAATAACATGTAGATATTTTAAAGCATGCTGTGGTAAGGAAAAGAGAACATTTAGAAGAAGGCAAGAAAACATAAGAGGAGGAGGTAGAATTCATCTGCTCTGAGAGCCTGCACTTCTGCCCCTGAGTTGGGGTCCCCAGCTGAACAGTGAGGGCCCATCACCACTGGCCAAAGTACAGAGAAAACGTGGTCAATTCAATGAGCTTGAGCTCAGTTATCAGAGATCCACGCAGTTAGGTGACCGTAATAGTACCGTTCACCACATGTTCTCTCTGCTTTCTGGACACATGGTAGACTCATAGTTCTGGGCCACTAATTTTGGCCCAGAAGTGAGAAGCCAAAGTGACAAATGCCACTTCTGAGCCAGATTTAGTAGTTTCCAGTGCAAGAACACCTAGAGCTTTCTTTCCCTTTTGCTTTGGAAGCTGCACTTCTCTCTAGGGCAGTCGCTCCATCAGCCTGGAATCCTGAGAATGTGAAGCAGAAGGTCCAGCCAACATGTTACATAGATGTTTAGTATGAAGTTCAAGTCACTGATCATTTAGGGTCGTTTATTACCGCAGCATGCACGGCCTTATTTGTGCCAATAACACGCAGCACATCCAAGTCATCAGAGGATGAAACAATGAGTTATGAGAGAAACACTCAGATGCCCCCCGCCCGACAGAGTCAAAGTGTCACCTCGAGAGATTCCCGAGACACCTTGTTCCCTTCCTCTCACCACTGCTTCTGAAAGCTGCCTCGGAGTCCAGTCTAAATGCTGGGCCACCAGTCAAGCACACTTCCCCTCCAGCACTGCCCCAAACGCCCACCGCACCCACAGTGTAAGGGAGGGTCTGTCGTCCGTGCGCCCCATCTGCAGCTGCCACACAGGCTGCCCGATCACTCACATCCTCTCCAGCTTTCTCAGTACCCACGTCAGGAAAGAATGTCGGGGCTGCCCGGCGTTTCTAGTTCTAGGTCTTGCACTGATTGTGAGGCTGGGGGCTTCTTGTTCATGCATGGAAACCCGGGGTGAGAGTTTTGGAGGTGGTCGGCTCCCCCACGGGGAGAGCGGGGGCTCACCTGGATGAGCCACCACCTGGGTGCTGAGGGCGGCCACTGCGAGCAGCAGGCACAGCGAGGCTGCAGAGACCTTCATGGCGGGGCTGTGGGTGGGAGCTTCGGTGTGGACGTTGCCGGTGTTCCTGCTTGTCTCAGCCTCTCTGCTCCTCTGGCTGCTCTCTCCGCCTTTTAAAGATGCCTGAGGGAGTGGGAGCTCCAAGGAGGCTTCTGCTTTTGCCAGGTCATCGCCAGGTCATGGAGGGAGGTCCTAAATGGATAACTTCTATATCCAAGCAAGCAGCAGTGCTTAGACAGGCAGAGGAACAGCAAGACACTAGGCACATTATTATCCAATCTTGGGGCTGGAATGGGGAAGGAAGAGAGTTTGTGAAATAACTGAGCAAGGAGAGTAATCTGAGAAGGTCATTCTTAAAAGCTCTCCTTAAAGAGAAACATATGGAGTGCGGAAAGAAAGAAGGGAACGGAGGGCAGGGAGAGATGAGGAGCTCTAAGAGCCCCATTCCCCGGTGCCTGTGTTCACGTGGTGGTCTTCCGGGTGTGGGAGGTCCGGAAGGGGCCCTCAGACCTCTGCTAGGCTCCCACCAGAGGTGGGGAGACCCCAGCCGCTCTGAACATGGCCAGCTCTCTGGGAACCCAGGAGTGTTAGCACATGAGAACCTCACACCCATTATTCAATCTAGTGGTCACAGAACCTTAGTGCCCTGGGATGTTAGCGTCAAAGGACATCAGAATGGGGGTAGCTCGTTACTGACCTTGACTTTCTGTTCATTTCCTTCCAGCTTTATTGAGGAATAATTGATGAATAAAAGTAGTATGTATTTAAGGTATACAATGCGATGGTTCGATACACATATACATTGTGAAATGATTACTGCAATCAAGTTAATTCACATGTCCATCACCCCCATCACCTCAGATAGTTAACCCCCTCTTTTTTTGGTCACGAACACTTAAGACCTAGTATCTTAGCAAAATTCAAATATATAATATAATCACCAAGCAGTATATTTGATTCCAAGCACGTAGTCATCTGAAGCTGCATCTTCAAAGCAAATGAACCACGGCCACCAAAGAACTATTTGAGGACAGTCAATCCATGTGCACTGCTTTATCCCCCATACTTATTATAACACTCAAGAAATAGTTTTCTTTTTTTTTTCTTAAGCCCTGGCTGGGTATCTCAGTTGGTTTGAGCCTTGTCTTGATACCCGAAGGTTGTTACTGAACGAAACTGGGGTTTGGCTACCTGCTGCCATTCAGAGACAAATTCCGGAAGGAGAGTTTGGGGAGAACAGAAAGAGGTCTCATTCAAAAGCTGCCCGGTCTGGGTGGATAGCAGTCTCCTGTCCCGAAGGCCCTCTTTTCTGGAAAACCCCGCCACCCGCTGCCAGGCACGTCCAAGGCTGCACCCAGAGTTCCTTCTCCAATTTGAAGTCCCATCCTTCCGCAAGTACTGTCCCCAGGAACCTGCAGGCCACTGCTTAGTCATCCTCCAAGCAGCTCATCTTCCCTCCTGGCCAGGGCCGGCGACTCCGAAAGCCCATAGCTGCTCATCCGTGAAGTGGGTGCAAAAGAAGAAGTGCGTTCCCTACCTTTCGTTTATTTCCCCGGCCCCCCCACGCCGACCCCCGGCCAAACTTTCACGCTGGGAGGTCCTGACCCCTATCGCCAATGCTATCCTTTTCCCAGGCTAGAGTGACAGGTTTTTCCTAGCACAACACCTCCCCCTTTGCCCACGTTGACCATTAAGCTGTGTCCTCTGGTCCCACCCTCCATCAGGGATGAGGAGTGGGGAAGGAATTACTTAGCCAATTACTCTCACTGGCCTTGTGCACACTCCATGCAAGACCAACCCACCGCCCCTCTTCCTGCATTTTGCCCGGGGATGGGGGAATGCGTCCTCGTGCACCAGGCTGGCTTGGTTACCAGGGCAATGCAGCTTCACCCGCGGCTCCTCCCTGGACCCCTCCCTCACCCTCGTGACACAGGCGCGGCTGCCATGGAATCAAAGTTATGAGTTTGATCCTCAGTCATGGCACAGGCGGGACTCGCCAATGCGTGTGTAAATGACTGGAACAACCAATCAACGTTTCCCTCTCCCTCTCCCCTTTACTTCTCTCTCTAAAATCAGTAAATTTAAAAAACAAATACTTTTTTTAATAAAATAAAGAGTAAGACTACTCTTTAGCAGGCTGTATGTTATGCGTGTACCATTTGACAAATGTCTCCACGGAAATACAAATTAAAACCACGGTGACACAGAGCTTCACACCTGTTAGGACAACTATGGTCAAAAGCGATGCATAGTATGTTGGCAATGCTGCGGAGAAGAGCGACCCCTTGTACCCTGCTGGTGGGAACAGAAGTTGGTGCAGCCTCTATGGAAAACAGTGTGGTGGTTTCTGTGCATTTCTAAACTATTTTTTTTTAAGCCCCTAAAGACTTTTTCTATTTCCTAAATGGAATCAATAGCAAAAGCCTGTTCATCAAATACCCTGCAGTGAAATCAGTCTGTCTGAAGCACAGTGATGGCTCCCAATACCCTCACACCCCAAGGATTCAAGGAACCATTTGGAAAACCAGTGATTTCATTCACCCTTACTCCCTGTGCACACGTGGCAGACTGAGTGCTCAATGGTTAAAAAATAACGCAGAGAAAGAGGAAAGCAAGAAGAAGAAAGAACATATGAATTCTCTGCATGCAACAGGAGACCCCTGGTAGGAGGAGGCACAAGGAGAGGCAGCCTTTCATGGGGTTCTTAATGAGGTCCTTAATCAATCGAGGCCCTGCAAGGTCCTCTCCTGGCTTTTTCTGCACGCTCGCACATCAAATCAATTGGCACAGGTTGCGGGGTGAGATATGTTGAGAGAGACTCTGCAGCCTTGCCTAGGGCTGGGGGAGCGACCCAAGGCCTCAGTCTCATCTGATTGCCCATGCCCATTATGAGCAAAGGATTAAGACATTCTTGGTGGCCTCGATGGTCTCTAAGCTTCCATCTAAAATCATCGGTCCACAGTCGCCTAGAAAGGGACCAAGTAGAGGTCAGAAGACTTGGCTCTTCCTTGTTCTTTCCTGTTCATCGCCAGGCGAGGTAGTCTGGTGTGGACCCTGTAAGAAGGGTCCCGAGTTTGAAGAGTGGCTTTGCCACTCACTAGCGTTAATACTGTGGACAACTTACTAACCACTCGCTGCTAAGTTAAGGTAGGAAAAACGATCATTTCTGCCTTGGAGGACTGTTGTGAGTTAAATTAGTGTGAGAGAGAAAGAGACAGAGATAGAGAGAGAAAGAGAAAGAGAGTGTGTGTGTGTGTATGTGTAGTACTCGGAAGAGTGGCCAGGTACTTGGTAAGCAGAAATCCATACTTGTTATTATTAGGAAACAAGACAAGTTTTGTGGGCCAGCGATGCTGGAAAAGGACTCAGAGTCCGGCCACATTGCTTTCTCCATATGGTTCCCCAATTTTCCCACTATGTCCAAGCAAACACATGTTCCACTAGGGGCAGCTTTCAGGAAGGTCTGCGTTGCCCATGTGGAAGATGTGATTCTCAAAAGTTGTGTCAGGGTGAGTATAGAATGCCTTTGACCTTGGAAATATTTGGCTGATATCATCAGGAGATCGTGTTCCCGTAGTAAGGATTGTGTAACTCTTCTAGGGGTTTGGAGAGTCCTATCCACAAGCGGAATTCCTTTGCTGAGTTCTCCTCGAGGCCTTGGGAGTAATCTAAATGAGAAAAACCACAGTGGGAATAAATAAACTAAATCTTTAGACATCAGAGTTCAGCAGTTGTTCCATCTGGCTGGCTGCTGTCCCTAATATGTGGGAGCAGCTGCACCGACGAATTATTCTCTCTTCTTTGGAAGTAACCGGAGATAAATCCACTGCTTGCCTGTGGGCTCATGCCTGGGAAACGTGAGGCCTGGGCCAAAAATGACTTTGAGCGATGGGCAGAAAGTCAGTTCTCCTCTGTGAAACCAAATCTTATCTTTCTGAGCATTTTCCAAGGCATGATAGGTAAACAGTGGGCAGCATCCTGGAATCGGTACTCCTAGTTTAGTTTTGCAGCTCTGCAACGGATTTCCTCTCATAATGCAAAGTTATATACAAATTAGAGACCAGAACATTCATTTTATTCCAACTCTCTTAAAAAGAAATAGAATAGAGACCTGAGATTTAAGGACCAGTAACAGAATCCCTAAGGCAATGCAGCATATTTTAGGCCGAGCTGATTCTAGAACCTCAGTTTCCGGACTTCCTGTCTAGTGAAACCTATTACCATATGGTAGCCCTTGGACTCGGTGTTCACTTCTGCAAAACAGGACCAGGAAGGAGCTGCTCTCTCTCTTTCTCAACACCATGCCTGCAGTTTCTTGTGACTATGGGAGGAAAACGATCCCAAACCTACATCAGTATAAAAATTCTAACAATGTGTCTAGCAAACAGCACGTTCTCAGTAAGAATGCTAACTCAGTGCAATCTATGCAAGCCACTATTACGGCATTTTGCATGTGTTGGCTTATTCAGTCCTCCCAACAAACCTGTGAGGTGGGTATTCGCACTAAGTTCATTTTAAAAATGAGAAGAAAAAGGCTTGGGGCAGTTAAATGACTTCATCTCCTGTGAAACCATTTATAGAAGTGAAGGCTGCTCCTCCGAGTTGCCATGAGGAAAACCAAAGCTCTTTTTACAAAATATTCTTACTGTTGGTTCCATTATTACATACAGTCCTCTTGGGGTGATCAACTTGACTCTTGTGTACAAAGCTGAAAATTGAGGCACAGCATGCTGAGATATTTCCCCGAACCAGCTGGTCACGGTCATGCCAAGCTACGCTTCAACAATAACAACCAACAAAATCTCAGTGACTCATTGAAACTGGTACTTATTTTTATGTCATGGCCTCATATTGATAAGGCATGTTGAAGGTACTCTCTTCTGAGAAGTAACTCAGAGGTCCAGGCTGCTTGTAAGTTACAGCTGCCATGTGAAATACAGGACCTCCAAGTTCCCCCAAAACAGTGGGAGAGAGGCTGGGAGATCCCACAGGATGTTTTAGGGAACCAGTCATAGAAATAGTTTATTTCAACTCTGCCTACATCCTGTTGGCCTTAACACCTCATATGATGCTCATCTAAGTA